AAGAGGTTCAAAGACCTTTATTTTGTCACTACAAAAACTTCCTGTTTTTTTTTTTTTTAAGCATGTCTCTAGACTGTTGATATAAACATTTCTCTTTCTTTGCTTTTAGAGACTCTTGAGATAGCATCGGTAAATTTACCCATCCCCGTGCAAACCAAGAACTACTATAAGAATGTTTCTGACAACAAAGAGATTGTAAAATTAGTCTCTGTGCTTAGCACAATCATTAACTCCACTAAAAAGGTAAGTCGAGAGGATTCACAGCCCAGCGGACATCACAGGCTTGTCTCGTGGAGGGTCTAGCCCACGTGTCTGCCCGCAGTACCTCCGTGAGGGGTTAGACCATCTTATAACCCCCAGTGTTCACCTAACTAAAGGTTCCTCACTCTAGATTGCAAGGTGAGAGACAATTATTATTCCCGTGTTCATATTGTGTTCTGTTTAATGTCTTTAATTTCTTATTGGCAAATACATTTAATTTAAAAATTTTCTATGTTCCAAACCACATGTCAGTATGTGATTAACAATTTGCTTTAAGGAGTCAGTGATACTAATATGTTTGAAATAACACAAGATTGATAGTCAGTTTTTAATGTTTTTTGGAGTCAGTTAAATCTTACAAAATATTTGAGGTTTTTCATGAGTAAAAGTTTGAAAGTTTGTGTAACTTGCCTTTGGGAATCAGATAATGTTCAGAATCAAGGGAATTTTGGTGATGGCAGAATAAACTTGACTGGCCATGGATGTAAACTCAGATTAATTTTTCCCTTTTGACTTGCTCTTAAGTTTGCCCTTGATTTTTGTTGTTCAGGAAAATCTAATTTTTATGGTCAAGAAGACTCAAAACCCTGAAATCAGGTTATACTTAAAAAAAAAATCCATATTCACATTTGCCATTCAGACTGGTTGACTCGCAGTGCTGAAGGAATAGTTGTTATTTTCTGACTGAATCTTTTCTATTACTCGGTTTTGCGAAAATGAGCTTCATTTGTTTGAAAGCATTTTGAAGAGCTAGCGTTGCTAGCTAATCATGTGAAGAAATATTAAGTTTGATTTTAAGTATTCCCGAGGGAACCAGAAGCTTTTACGTTTGTGCGTTTTCAATTTTCCTTTCTTAATATATTGAAGGTCCTGTATTTAATTTTGCCCTTGGGATAGTGTTCACAAAATTCAATTTAACAAATATTTACCTACCACTTTATCAAGCTCTATGCTAAATGGTAAAGATAAGTAGAATATTCCACAATGATAATAAACATCCGTGTAAACTTACAATATTCTTTGTAATCATGGGAAATACAATGAAGTACCTCAGTAATAAAGTTCATTACTTCATGGGACGATAGGCAGTTATTACTGTGAAAATCTAAGGCTAAGATATAGTTGTTGAAATTAGCATGTTGCTGACAACAAAATACTTATTTCTGCATCACTTTTGTTGCATTTAGTTTTATATTATATGAAGGAAATGCACAATTTTTTAAAAAGATTTATTTATTTGTGCATACAGAGCCAGGGTACAGGCCAGAGGCTCAGGGGCGGTGAGAGGCTTCACCAGAGACAGAGCGGGGAGCAGAACAGGCAGATTGACGAAGCACACTGCTGAGGGGAGCAGCGGGCGGGTCAGGAGAGGTCTGCCGCGCCATGTCTGTCACTTCCGTAGCGGATTCGAACTCATGCTGAAGTGGCTTTAGCTTCTCAGTGCTGTGCATTAACCCGCTGCGCCACCAGGGAGGAGGGCCCGGAAATGCGCAAATTTTAAGGAGACTTCTTTAAAATAAAAGAAAGGGTACCAGTCCTAAAATAAGTTCCCATAGGATTTTTTCCCTGGCTCCTAGGGACACCAAATTGTGTTGAGAACAGTATGTGTACGCTGAGTCCTAGTTCTGGATGGGACCAGCACTCTGTAGCCACAGACCTTTCTGATGACTCTGCCTTGAGCTCTCAAGAGTCTCCGGCACCACCCTTTTCCTCCTGTCACAGCTGATTAGTCCAGAATATAAATCTGACCTACATCCAGTTAGCCAGCATGTGACTGTTAACTTGCACTTGCCTATCTTGAAAAGATCAGTTGAACTGAGCATTCGAGGTAACCGCATAAATCACCATAGCACTAAAGACAAGCACAACAGCTTGACAGCTCATTCATTTTATTTTTCCTGTAAGCTCCGTTACCTTTACTCTAAAAAGTTCTAATAAAGATAGACACTTTTAGGTAAAATAAATGAGTCTAGAAAGAGAAAAATATCGAATGGTCTCATGGATAGGAGGAATGTCGAGGAGCCAAATAAGGGACCAGGGGGAAAAAAGTAACTACAATAAAGTAAAAATCAAAATCATCTGACAGCGATAGGTCAGAGACCCTCTGCAGGGGAGGAGGAAGGAGGAGGACCAGGTCAGGGGTGGGACAGGGGACGACAGTGATGGTGCAGGGGAGGAGGGGTGGTGGAACCTCACGGGGAAAACAGACATTGTACAAAAATGAAGGCGGATGTGATAAATAAATAAATAAATACAAAAAAAGACTTTCAATATTATACCTGTATGCTATTAAATATTCCCATTCAGCAGCATGGTACTTTTGCAAATCTTCCACTTGTTTTTGATTATTTGCTAATTTTTAGCGTAACTGTCACCGAGACCCCAGGCGCTTGTTTTATGAACTGTGTAGTGGGGAAGGAGCTCAGGATTCAGGAACTTCTACCCACATCCAGGTTTTTGGTTTTGCTTTTTTAAAAAGTTAGAAATAACGAGAAAAGATGAATTATTTGTACATGAGATGATTATTTACCAAATCAAGAGGTTAATATGAAAAATATATATGCCCAATAAGTGTGGAGTTAGTAGTCAGTTGAAAGATAATTGTAGGCATTACTGCTGAAATGCAATAAACATGTTCCTGAAAATCACATTTTGCAAAGTTGCATGTTTAATTAATAGGGCTTATGAGAAAGAGGCAGACACAAAACCCAGGAAACTTTATAAGCAGCATAATAACCAAAGAAATAAAAATCATGGCAAAATATTACATGTTTAATAATGCTGAAAAGTTTCTGATAGTAAGGTGAGTTATTATCAAAAGTTGAAAGTAGCTTGGTAGGTGTTGCAAGGAACCACTGAGTTTGCTGAGATACACAGGCAAGGAAGAAATACACAGAGATCAGGTTGATGGGGGCAAAGAACATTCTCGAGCAAGGTGATGCTTGCCTTGGCCCCTAGGAGGAAGCAGTGGAGGGATACGCCACAGAGGATTGTGCCCGTGGCCATTTGCTGTTTAACTGACATGTAACAGTCAGCGCTGGAATAAAAGCATTTGATATTTTGGGCTCCCATGCGTTGACATTCGCTCATCACCCCTGTGAGTGAGCCCTTCATTATATAGTGTGCTGCTTTGTCGTAAATGAAACATTTTATTATAAAGTCAAAACTTCCATGCTGTCTTTCACCAGTATAAAAAATAGTGGAAAGACAACTCATTGCGAGACACCTGGAACATATATAATAAAATGTGTGTGGAGTCTCCATGAAGGCTCCTCTAACAGTAGACAAGGAATAAAAAATAAATGGAAGATTTGGAAACAGATTATATCCCCGGATGGGAAGATTTAATGTCATGCAGATATCAATCCCTATCTAATTAACTTTTACATTTAATGCAGTTCCGTGCAACTCCTCAATGAGGCTTGATGCTGAATATGCTTTTTTTTTTTTGTCCCATCAGATTTAATCTCATCTTCTGACTTTAGGGAATAGGCCAGTAGGTTTCCATCGAGCCTTCTGCTGTGTTTGACCAACGAGTCTTCTAGCAGGACTAGGGAGAAGAGCGACTGATTGTATTGCAGCACCCTCTGGTTTCAGACCCAAGGTTCAGCTCCAAAATAAAGGGTCTTGTCCACAAGAGTCTCTCTTCCTCTCTCTGTTTTTGGTTTCTAAAAACTGCCCCATCCTTTGGCTAGGGTTGACATATGTTTCTAGCCCCTAGATACTGTTTACACTGTTGAATCTAGTCCCAGTTCTGTGGTACTTCCAGCTGGTTTCACAGTTCCCGAATTGAACATTATAATAAACCCATGGGAATCACCGGTAACTGGCTAATACTCACACTGTGATGCTGTTTCCTCTTTTTCCCTCTGCTCACAAATCTGATATTTGTATTCCAGGAAGTGATTACGGCCATGGATTGCTTCAAATGCTACAATCACATTTGGCAGAAGGAGAAAGAAGAAACCATTACGTCATTCATTATGAAAAACCCCTTGCTCGCTGAATTTGAATCCCAGATTGTCTACTTCCAAAAGCTCGAGCAGGAAATTAATGCTCAGCCTGAATATATCTGTGTGGGTGCCATTGCTTTGTACACAGGTTAGTTCTTTTTCTCTCAGTCATCAGAATTCAACAGGATTGTTCTGTCTCTTCACCTAGATTAGTATTCCAGAGAGTTCTTATCTTAAAGATTGACTTTTCTTTTTTGGACCTCAAGCTTTAAGGCCAAGTTGCAGCTCTGTTTTTAATTCCCTTCTGCATGATTAATTATTCTGGATTATTTTGAACACTGCTCCAAAACCTTGAAAATAAATACTAATTCAGAGGAAGGGGATGAGCCTGTATTTGAAATTAAAATGTATCCTTTCTTTAATAAACAACAATAGACTTTTGAGGCTTGTCAGCAATGGATTTAATATTACTATTTTTTAAGGCATGTGGAAATGTGCTTTTAATGGCTGCAAAGCAAGCTTTATATCCGTGATCACTAGGAAAATGGTTTTCTTCGCTGCCTGTGTTGGAGCAGTGTAAGCTGCCAAGTGTTTATAACGGTGAATGGCTTCACTTTGTTGTCTTAGCTTGGTGCAGATTTTTCAAGCTGAACTGTGGACTTTTGGGTTTTACAGCTGACTTGAAACTCACCCTGACAGCTGAAACAAAGGCCTGGATGGTTGTCATTGGCCATCACTGTAACAAAAAATACAGGAGTGAGATGGAAAACATTTTCACACTTGTTGAAGAATTCAATAAGAAACTGAATCGTCCCATCAAAGACCTAGATGACATTCGGATTGCTATGGCGGCCCTGAAAGAAATCCGGGAGCAGCAGATCTCCACTGACTTTCAAGTGGGGCCCATCGAGGTAGCTGATCCTCACTGCTCTCCAGAAAGCATTAGCCCATCACCCTGCTCGGTGGGTGATTTCAGCTGTAATATCCGGCATGTCTGCAAATGGCCACCGAACCCAAGGATGATGATTCCAGCTCCCCCAGGATGCCTTCCATGGGCACCGCTATTGTCTTTCCATGTCATCTGAGGTCCCTGGGAGTAGTCTGACATGAGGATTGTGTATAAGCGGTTTAAGATGAGTGCACAGGGGTGGGCCTGAAGGGGACAGGACAGGACGGGGTTGGGGTGGGAGCAGGAGAAGGGAGGATGTGACTGAGCCATAGAGCCAGTTTGGCTGACCTAAGGCACAGCTCTAAAGCATGAAGTGTACCACACAGTGCTCCCAACTTCAGGAAGAGGGCATGCCCTGGTGCCCCCAAGACAGTTGGTCATTGGCCATAGGCTTCCCCTTGAGGAGGCTCCTTTTACTGGAGCACAATTTTCCAGGGAAGGTGGCAGCTGCGGCCAGCATGTCTGGCAGGATGCAAATACAAGGCGGTGAACAGGACCCGGGAGAGGCACTGGCAGGACCCACTCGTACACTAAGTCCAAACTAACTTGTTTGCACCCTACTGCATCCTATACTTTTTTTTTTAAGATTTATTTATTTATTCATATAGAACTGGGGTACAGGCCAGAGATGCGGAGGGTGAGAGGATTCACCAGAGACAGAACGGGGAGCAGAACAGGCAGATCGATGAAGTACACTGCTGAGGGGAGCAGCGGGCGGGTCAGGAGAGGTCTGCCGCGCCCTGTGGTCACCTCCGGGGCAGGCGGGAATCGAACTCATGTGGAAGTGGCTTAAGCTTCTTAGTGCTGTGCTTTAACCTGCTGCACCACCAGGGAGGGCCTGCATCCTATACTTTACTCAAGGAAATGAAGACCCAAAGAAGCAATTTGATTAGTGTTGCACATTACTTTTATAATTATATTGCTTCATACTGTTTTCTAAGATGGAATGTATTATCAAGAATGAATGGGTCACTATACTTGTGCTTTTAAACTAAATGAGTTTAATTGCAGCACTAGAACAACTCCAAATATAAAAATACTGTCTTTTCATTGCATAATCTGGATTTCTACACTTACACTTTGATGGTCAGGATGATGCTTCCATCACACGTTTTCTTTGGGCTTCCTCTTTGAATGTTGGCAAACTTCAAGTTACTGTGAAAACCTGAAAACCAACCTTTGTCTTATTTAATCTTCTAGCCAAGTGAGTAGTGAGGATTTTGTGTCCTGAGCGCAATGACTGGCCCAGGCTCTGATGTAAGAACTGCCTTCTTGCTATCAGAACCTCTCAATGAAGAGAAGTGGTTATAGAGTTAAAACCCAGATTTATTTTGCTATCCTAATATTAGTAGTTCTTGTGTTTTTAATGGGCTGATAGGCCTTTTGTAGGCTTGAAATATAATTTAGGGGCCTATATAAATATGCCTTTTATTTTATGTGATGATTTATAGTTTTCCAAGTGCATTTAAAGTGATATTTTTAGGTTTTCACAAAAGTCCTGAAGAAGCTGGAAATTTTCCACTTTTTTAGATGAAGAAAAGAAGTTTGGTGGTTTAGTTGCTCATTTAAGCTTTTCCAGTTTGCAAGTGGGAAAACTAGAAGTCTCTGGGGAGCAGCCCACTGCATTCATTCTAATGTTTAGTAAATGACTGTGTGTAGATTGATGTCCCTGTATGGCAGAAAGTAAATGTTTCTTCTTTTATGTAGGAATCCTATGCGCTGCTTAACAAGTATGGACTTCTGATAGCAAAGGAAGAGATGGACAAAGTTGATACTCTGCACTATGCTTGGGAGAAGCTTCTGGCACGTGCCAGCGAAGTTCAAAATGAATTAGTCTCACTGCAGCCTGGTTTCAGGAAAGAACTTATTAGCACAGTGGAGATCTTCCTCCAAGATTGTCAGCAGTTCTATTCTGACTATGATTTGGTATGACACTGGCCATTTCTGTGTGCATTTTCAGGGAAAAGCGACTAGAGCATGCAAAATGGAGTTGTCACTTAAAGATTATGTGTCAAATTCAATAAAATCCCCCAGGAATGGGAACTTTATTTTCAGGAGAGTAAGGGCACTCCCCTTTCACAATCCTTCCCTACTGGAGAGTTCTTCCAGAATACTTGCAATAAGAAAGCAGGAACTTAAAAGTTCTGTTCCTATTATATCATTGATCTATTACTGAAGTTGTTTGATAGCTTTCTAAATTGTTGCATACAAATACTACTCACACATAATATTATAGTCATTCTCATAGCAGCCTCTGGTTCCACGAGTTTTGGACAGTGCATCAGGTGTCAGGACCTGTCCTTGGTGCTGAAGACATAACTGTGGGCTAGGCTGAATTTGAATCAAACATATATGGTCTAGTGCAGATTCTTCTATTGGGAATACGTTGTGTGATGAGATTTATTTCTAACTAATTATAATATGTGACAGAAGGTAAATATGTAGACTATAGGATAAAATTTGTGACTATTAACTAGTTGTTCATGCCTAAGTTGGGAGATTGGATCCATGTACTAACTAACTTCATGGATGAGGAAACCCACATATTTAAGATGTTCTTGTATATGGAAACTTGCTGGGATGTTAAGATTATGATTTAACTTACAAGTAGATACTAGAGAGGCTAAATCTGTGAGACACCAGTATTTAGTCAAAAATCAGACACTATATGCACTGCCAGAAGCCTTATTGATCCTTCTTTGCCTATGTCACCTAAGAAATAATAGTATACATTTTTAATCTTCAGATTTTCTTGAACTAGGAAGTTGATTTTTCTTAGACTTGAAAATATTTCCAAATGAGCCACTTTCTAAGTCTTTTTTTTCCTCAAATAAGAAATTACATTTCCCATCACGTATATATCAAGCAAGAAAGTAGCTTTGATATTGAGCTAATTGACTTCAGAAAATTGTAAACGTGCTCACTTAATCCTATTTTGTTTATTTTTGTGTTTCAGAATGGACCGATGGCCAGTGGCTTGAAACCCCAGGAAGCTAGTGATAGGCTCATCATGTTTCAGGTAATCTTTTAAGTTTGCACAACTTCTAAACAACAAACACCTTCATGTATTTAAAACACACATATTTCCCCCCTTTAATGTAGAATATGAACTGTACCTATTTAAAAAGTGTGGTTTCTGCAGTTATAATTAGGGTTGGTTTCCATATAATCAATTTAACTCATTTAGTATACGCATTTCCAAATGTGCTCAGAGATCATATATATCTGTTCATTTGTCAGTCTTTTTCTAATCTGCATGTCCATTCAAGTGGAAACCATCTTAATGAGTTTTCGCTTGTGTTTTTATTAGAATCAATTTGATAATATCTATCGGAAATACATCACCTATACTGGGGGAGAAGAGCTTTTTGGACTGCCAGTTACTCAATATCCTCAGCTTCTTGAAATAAAAAAGCAACTAAATCTTCTACAGAAAATATACACTCTGTACAACAGCGTCATAGAAACTGTAAATAGTTATCATGATATCCTTTGGTCAGAAGTGAATATTGAAAAAATCAACAGTGAACTTTTAGAATTCCAGAACAGGTGAGAAATGAAATGGTTAGCATATGCAGAACTCTGAAACCAGAAATGTTTTCTGCTTTCATAGGCTGTCAAGCTCTCTTTCAACTCAGATATTTCCAAAGCGTCCCTTGCTGCGTGGCTGTGTACATTGTCATCACCCTTGTCAGTTACTAATCACTTGTATGTGTTCACAGTGAGGAAAGCATACTCTTTAAATCTGGAGAGTCTTCTCGGCCTTTCTGTGGTTTGGAGGGAGCTGATCTCAATTTTTATCATACCAGTCAAACTCTGAGGTTTATGTTATATAATTTCCTGGAGTAAAAGCAAGAGCCTCCTGGTTTTTCTCCATCACTTTAAAAGTGTTGAACACAAAGGGTCATTTGTTATTTATTTATTTATTTATTTATTTTTGGTTGACAGCTGGGTACATGCTGCTGTGTTTTGTACCTGGGAAAGTCTTAATAATATATGTTTGCAGAACTGAAATGGGAGGCGCCTCTGTCCTTTACAGTAATGCCTTTTAGTGAGCGAATGCCTCCTGGTTGGCGTGAGAAACTAGTAAAACATGTGTTTACAGGTATTTTATGAGTCAGGATAGGTATGTGAGTGACTGTTTTTACTAGGAAAGACTTGGATTGGAGACGCTGGGGTCATGCTCAGTGGCCTTTCCTGAGGTTCTCTCTGTGCAGGTGTCGGAAGCTGCCCCGCGCCTTGAAGGACTGGCAGGCCTTTCTGGATCTCAAGAAGACCATTGATGACTTCAGCGAGTGCTGCCCCCTCCTGGAGCACATGGCCAGTAAGGCCATGATGGAGAGACACTGGGGGAAGATAACTGCTCTCACAGGACACAATCTGGATGTGGGGAATGAAACCTTTAAGTTAAGAAATATCATGGAGGCACCTCTTCTGAAATACAAAGAGGAAATAGAGGTACAGTGGAAAGAGTGGTGGAGAGGATCAGAAGGTTGCAGATTTACGTGATGGGTGTCTACATTATGGAACTTTGGGCGAGTAGACTCTTCTGGGGGCAAACTCATCTCTTTCCTTGGGGCTCAGTGTTTCATTCCTCCAACAAATGTTTATGTGTCAGGTTCTGTGCTGAGTGCTGGAGACATGGGATGAACCACTGCACCCATTGGTCATTAAGGAATATGTGTAATCAGATAGTTATAGAAATCAGAGTATAACTACAAACTGTGGCAAATATCGTTGAAGGAAAAAAATGGTAGTCTACAGAGACTATGTTTGTCATTAAAGGAGGTTGGCCTACCTGGGGTGAGGGAAGGGTGATAAGGCTGGGGAATGTTGGTAAGCTATTCAGGGATTCTAGGTGTAGGGGATATGTTTGTGTGGTGGGGAGACAGAATGGGAAATTGCAAAAGAGGTTAGAAAGTATAAGATAGAGCCAGCATGTGGAACATCACCTACAAGTTCTGAGGTGTGTTTGGGGGAGCCAGTGGAAGATCAGAAAAACTGAGTATAGGGTACTAATTGATTTGAGTCTTTAGGGGGTCATGTGGGAGAAGTTTTGAGCAGGGAGTACATGACCAGATGAAGAGAGATTTTTAGGAGGTAACTGGCTTGAATTTGGCCAGAAGAGAACATCACATGAGAAACAAGGGCAGCTGATAATTCAGCTTGGAATTCTTGCCAGGAGATCTAGATAGATGATGATGCTTGTCCCTAAGTAGAGAATGTTGTGAGGGAATCAGGCTGAGTGATCAGGTGCAAAGTCTATGAGCTTGATTTGGGGCATTCACTTGATATTTCACAGATTGTGTTTGTTGTCACCTTGATCTGTCCAAGCAGAGAAGTCCTGCAGTAAATGGGTTTTGCCTGGATATGAGATTACTGACTGTATCGGCATAGATGTGCTCACCTTCAGGCACAGCAGACCTCCCCTGACTCCTGCTGCTCCCCTCAGCACTGTATTTCAGTGGATCCATTTGTTCTGCTCCCCACTCTGTCTCTGGTGAATCCTCTCACCCCCATGCTTCTGTACTACACCCCAATTCTTATGTGCAGAAATAAATAAAACAAATCTTTAAAAAATAAAATATGCGCTCACCTCCAGCGAGAGCGTGGTGTGAGATGAGAGAGGGCAGACAGGGCAGGTGTCATGGCTGGAAGGTAAAGGCTCAGAGACTAGGAACATGCTAGGGAACTGGAGCAGATCAAGCTTCTGCTAATTCCCTCTCCCCATATTACATTGACTTGACATTAGAGGTAAATCTGAGATGAAGTCAGTTTTGAATCTTTGATTAAATATTCAAAAATTAAGGAGATATTGCATGTCTTTTTATCCCAACTTAAAAATTGAAGTATAATCCACCTAACAATGAAAGATGTATGAAAAGTGGATTTGATACATTTATATCGTGCAATGTAATGGCTAATGTAGCATTAGTTAACACATCGGTCAAGTCACATAATTATGATTTCTTTAGTGGTGGAATGATGACGGTCTCGTCTGCTAGCACGTTGAGTGTCTATTCTAGTTTTGTGTCTGTGATCTGTGTATTTGGTGCAGGGCCTGTTTATCTTTTTGCAGGTGTCGCACGTTGAATCATCTCTCCCATCGTCCACTCCCCAACCCTTGGCTGAAGCCATTCCATTGTGCTTCGTTTTTAAGTCCAATTTCTTAGATTTCACAATAAGAGATACATAATATTGTCTTCCTTTGACTTCTTTTAGCGTTTGGCAGGGTTTCCTTTACCAGGGGTGAATAAATAGTATTCCATTGTTGCTTACCTTGTTTTTCATTATCCTTTCTGGATCGTTGGTGGGAAATTTTATAAGTTAAGGTTATGTAATTTAGAAATATCTCAATTTCATCTGTGTCCTTAAATCTATCTCTCTGTGCACATGCCACTTTTGTGTTGCATTTGCGATCTGGAAATAGAAGTAGTGGCTGTGTACACGAAGCCAATAGTGCAGGTAGGACCTCCGCGGAGACTAGATGAGGACAGAGGCCTGGGAGACTTCCAGGGAATACAGAGAGGGCTTGCAATTTTCACAGGACATCTGTGTCAGCGCTGTGAAAGAGAGGGACATTGAGCAGAAGCTGAAGCAAGTGATTCATGAATGGGACAGCAAGACGTTCACATTCGGCAGCTTTAAGACCCGGGGGGAGCTCCTCTTGCGAGGAGACAGCACCTCAGAGGTCATCGCCAGCATGGAGGACAGCTTGATGCTGCTGAGCTCGCTCCAGAGCAGCAGGTGAGACGTGCCCACGCTTGCCTGGGCTCTGAGAACCGCGATAGCAAAGGCTTCAAGGGACTTTGCCTCAGTGCCCTTCATACGATTTATTTAACATCTGAAAGTCCTTGTTTTAAATTCGGCCTCGGTGTTACATATCTCATTTCCTTCTTTTAGTGGTTGAACCATCATTTGGACAAAATCAGGCCACATGGAAGCAGCCACTGGATTTTGCACAACATCCCACTTTGCAGCTGACAAATCTCCCTGCCCTGTTGACAACTCAGCAGGAGTTGGGGGGAGGGGCATTATTCTGAGTTTTGGGATGATCATTCTACTTGGAAAAACTCACACACACACATATAACATCTTTTTCTTTTTTTTACTGTGTTTCTTTCTTTTCTCAGGTGTAATCCCCATAGACTTTCCAGCACCACGTCACCCCTGCACCGTCACCACAGTCCCTGTGCTCCCCCAGACCTTGCCTTCGCCCCTCTCCCATCCTCACCCCTGCAGAATGTCTCTGATTTATAGCTGTTTATTTTTCTTGTGTTGTGTTTTTTATTGTTATTTTTGCCTGTTCCCTTGTTTGGTTTCCCTCTATTCCTCCTATAAGTGAAGCCATCTGAAATTTTTCTTTTTCCTTCCCTATTATTTCACTGAGCATGATCCCTTCCAGCTCCACCCATATTGCTGCCAAGGGCATGACTTTATCTGTTTTGACTGCTGAGTAGTCTTCTATTGTGTCTATGTACAACACCTTCTTGATCCAGTCAGCTATTTTTGGGCATTTGGGTTGTTTCCAAGTCTTAACCTATTGGAAAACCTTTTTGCCAACATCTATGGACTAGGAAATCTTGATTGTGCTTATCCATGAATAAGATGACATGAAGACAGAGAGTGAATTGAGCTCATAAGGAGACTTAACCAGCCCAGGCTAATTCCAGCCTAGCTAGCGCTTCTCTTTGGCAGCCCAGCAAAGCTGCGAGCTCCGGACATGTCATTCACAGACTCGTCAACTTGCACTTCCTGTTCATTGCTCCCTTTGCTCTTGAAAAAGACTTTTGCTCCCCAGGATCCTCTCAAATATATGGAGATTGTATAGAATGAGCTGTGATTTTTTTTTGTGCTTTTTTTTTAAAATTCAAAATATCATTCTACTCCCTTTGCAATTATTTAAATGTTAGAATAACTAGTAACATTGCTTCGATAAAAATCCATCCTTTCCTACATACTTTAAGTTGTGAAATGAGTAAAATAATATCAACTTAGGCTTGGAAGAGATTTACACCATTGGTAATCTTGAGTCTGGGTTGCTTAGGACTGGGTGAGACTTTATAAATTTGGCTACGGCTTATACCCAATTGGGGTGATGAACAGATGAAAATAATTCACTGGGGAGAAGTCAAAAAGGCAGAGGTGTAAATTAAATAAAAATGACCTGTGTTGGGAGTGGGGGCGCTTTTCTGTCTAATGGCATCTGATGCACACACAGTTGCAAGAGAAACACGTATTCAACACTTATTGACTGAATCGCCTCTGGGGCACGTGTGTGTAGGAGCTGTGTGTAGGCGAGTGAATACAACAAAGATTTCTGTTGCTGGCATGACCTTCTGGTAAAAGACATAAAGAATCCCTCCCCCCTCCAACAAGATGAGTGGACTATGAAAACATTCTGTTTCAAAATAAAGATTACAGAAATTAAGATTATTTTCTCTCATGTGACTACTATTTGAGAAGACTTCCAATTCTTGTTCTGTGGAACTGGAGAGTTTGGTTGAGAGAGGAAGAGAAACAGTTTAGGGTGGAATTCGTCTTCAGATAATACAAGTACCACATACAACGTCACTTAACCAAGGCCAGGGTCTGAGTCTCTCTCATGGAAAAGGGATCCCGAGTCCATAGCTCAGGTTGGAGTATGGGCTCCCACTCACAAAGGGACCTGAGCTTTTGGCTTTTCTCTTTCCCTTCTCCTTTCTAATAGCCTGGATAGCCAGTGTGGACACTTACATATCATCTAGAAGATGCTTCTCAGCCTCTGCTATACACTGGACAAGTAGGGAAACTCTTACACCTCTCAATGCCTGGGCCACATCCTGGTTGGACTGCATCAGAAACACTGGAGGTGGGACCCAGAGAGGCATCATCAGTTTGTGTTTGCTGGATGATTCCAGCGTGCCACTGAGGTTGACAGTTATTGATGTGGAACCTGTGGATTGATATGGAACTACTGATGTTTCCACATTGCTGCAGAGGAGATCAGGAAATTCAGTGTATTACCTGGGGAGTTCCTTGGCCCAGAAGAAATGAAGTTCTACATACAAAGAAGAAGAAAAAGACACCAGGAGAACAGTGTTGTCATTTCTGCCTCCAGAAGAAAAAGGGGAAGGTGGCTGGACTGAGAGAGGATAAGAGGAGGCCTGCAGTGGGTCCATTCATGCACCCACAGAGCTGAGTGATGAGGACTTGGGGAGATCCCCAGAAGAGCAGAGGAAAAGTAGAGATTCCTGATCTTATCATATTTGGAAATTCACTTAGTTTGGATCCCAGCAGTGACTCTCTAGTAGCTTCAGGTGGTTCGAAGTCATAGGCTCCATTCATAGGTGCAGAAATTCAGTAGAGAGAATATTACTTCCTTGGCTATTGCAACAATGACCCAAATTCTGTCACTCTACCAGTTGAACGGAGTCCAGTCCAATGCCGGACCTGCTCCTTTGAAGAGGAGTTTCCTACCATTCTATGCTCTAGATGGAAAGGGACAAACCAGTCTAAAATTGCCCAACAAATGGTGGTAAATAACTCACTCAGTAGCATCATTTTTAAAAGCCAGCATTGTAATGACATTTGTAAGGAAGCAGGTAAAAATTAGGATTAAAAAAAAGCTTTTTAGTTTCAAAACAACAATAGAAATGAACACCAAGTGCTGACCGTGCTTTTCGTTTTAGGTACAATATGCCATTCAAAACCCAGATCCAGAAATGGGTGCAGTACCTTTCCAACTCAACAGACATCATCGAGAACTGGATGATGGTGCAAAACTTGTGGATTTACCTAGAAGCTGTCTTCGTGGGAGGAGACATTGCCAAGCAGCTTCCCAAGGTTTTAGAATTTTCTTTATGTTACATCAGATTTTTCAAAGCAGAGAACCACCTAATAATTATCAATTACTTTAAAAAGGTGATAGTTCAACCTCTGTTGAGTCGCGCCCTCCCAGACTTTCTGGTGTTGCTGTTGAACTGTTGAGAGAGAGAAACTGTGGAACAGGAGGAGGTTGAAACTAAGAGGACAGAAAAAACTGTGAGGTTTTAGAGGACATGGAGGGTTAAAAACCAAAGACTGAAAGCCTGTATAATTGATATACTTCAGATAATTTGAAGGTAGAATTGGAACAACGTAGAATTATGAAGTAGTTCTCTTGACAATGGTATGGTAATTTGTTCATCTACTACTGACATTTAAAAATAGCTCACACCATACAATATACCCAATTATATCTGTACTGTAAAGTGGAGAGGTAGAAATGTGCGGGAGAAAAATCTTCTAGGTGAAAAGGTTCTCTGAAAATGTTGTGTTTTTCTCATCAAATTGTAATCATCTCGCTGGGGAGATGTGGAGTGTATTTTAAGCTTTAAAAAAAATTTTTTTAAAACCAAATCTCAGGGATTCTTATTCAATTATCTTAAACTGTTTGCAAAATTATAATATTTTAACATCGAGTTTTAGAAGCACAGTTATATTGAGTGTTCTCTTATTCGGTGTCCTGACATCTGGTTGACTTTCAGTTTAATTACAGAAGGCAGATAGGTGAGCTGATTTCTTTTTTTGGCCATCAGCAAAATGAATCCATACACAAAAAATTGACACATTTATTTATATTGTTGATTCCTGCTTTTGTTTGTGGGCATGTTTTTCTGAGTAAGTGAAGAAGAATCTCAAGTTGGACTCAGTGGAAACTTTCATATGGAATATTGAGGGAAGGGTTTCTTGCTTGTATATCTGAGAGTATGTGATCACTGGAAAAATGCATAAAGTTTTAAGAAAGGAAGAAAATAAAAATCATTCTACTCTCTGAAAACAATCTCTGCATTTTCCATTTTTTTCCCCTGAAAAATTTCTACTTTAAAAGAATCCCAATATCAGCCTTATATTGGAACTGATTGTTTTTTCACATGTTTAATTTTCTAAATACAAATTCAAAACTCAGTGTGGAAAACTTGAAAGACAGAAAATTAATTTCTTTTTTAGAGCTAATTGTTGGAACATTCAGATCTGTCCTTACTTTCCAAATTGTCTCTTAAGATTACTTTTACACCTGTTCCCTGTTTTTATGTAACATAGTGGGGGTGTTAGGGTTGAACTAAAGTTTCTTGAAGAAGGGGGTGCTAGGTTATAAAAGGTCCCAGGAGAATTGGCGCATGTGTGACGTGAGGCCATGGTGGGCTGCTCGGTCCTTGGGGTGCAGCCGGGTGTGGGCTTGGCCTCAAGAGCACCTCAGGCCAAGTGTTCTTTCTCATGTCTCACAGGAAGCCAAGCGCTTTTCCAACATAGATAAATCTTGGGTGAAGATCATGACTCGGGCGCATGAGATGCCGAATGTGATTCAGTGTTGTGTGGGTGACGAGACACTGGGGCAGCTCTTGCCACACTTGCTGGACCAGCTGGAAATATGCCAGAAATCCCTCACGGGGTAAGTTCGCTGGCTGTGGGAGGCCTCCTCAGCCCCAGAGGAGAAGGTTGTGGGGAGAGTAAAGGGTATGGGCCTGACTGGTTTTCTTTCCCAAGACTTTATTCATGTCTAGTATTGCCACACAGGTTAGCTTGATACTTTGGAGTCTTCTGGTCTCTCTAAACACTTCTGGGTTTGTCCTGGAATGATAGGATTTAAGACTGTTTCATTGTGGGGCAAGATCTTACAAACATTCTCATGGTCTTTGACTTTGAAAATCTATGTAGCAGGGTTAGGGTTTGGGTAAAGTTAAAAAAAAAAGGAAAAATAAAATCTATATACCTATTCTTCTGATGTCCTTCTGGACAAACACTTGACAGACTAAAGTGTTTTATTATAATCAACCAAGAACTACACGAACAGTGTGGAATGCACTCAATACTCAAGATTATACAGAAATGAGAGCTTGATATACCTGTCAGTAGACACAGACACAGACATGTCCGCATCTTATGGATGTGGGGCTGTGTGAATTTCAAGGGTAATAAATTTCTTTCTTGTTCTTACCTTTTGACTAATCAAGATAAAAATCATATAAATGGGCATGTGTTAAGTAGTAGTGTTCTAAAAACTGTTACCTGTACATTATCCCATGGAGGAGTTTTGGTAGGAGTGGAAACTTATTTTTCAATTTAGGTAAAATTTTATTGACTTACCAAAACTGAAAAGTCTGAGGGTACCTCTTCAGATATAGACTTAAAAAAATGTTTAAAAAGGAATTCTGGTCGACTTGAGGTTAAAACTGCATGATTATATTAGAATATGCTAGAAAAAGAAGATGCAGAGGTATAGCTAGCCCTACGACTAACAGAAAAGAGCATTTCCCAAACACGAGAGGCCACTGTAGATTAAAGCAAGGTTGGCCGTGGAAGGCAGTTGGCAGCAAGCCTGTGCAGGAACATTCCCAGGGTTCCGGTTGCTCCCAGCGTTGAACAGTCCTTTTCATTAGACTTACTTGCGGCTGGGTTTTGCTTCTGCTTTGGTGGATTGGGTGAATCCTCTGAAGTTACTGGTCCAGGAAGGAATGTAGGTTTCAGCTGGCCTGTGCTTGCTAACAAAATGAAACAAAGACCAAAACAAAGCACTCCCTGTGTGTATTTTCCCCCGTTTTTTTAAAAAAAAAAATATGGTTTCCCTGATGAGGTCTAATACACATATTACACTGGCGATAAATGAAGAAATTCTCCCTCCTGTTCTGGAAAATACAGATTGTTTTCCCCTGAATAATTAGTAACAACCCGACCAAATGGAAAACACTAAGCAGGAACATGAGATTGTCTCGAAGTCTTTCCCCCAACCCCATCCAGATTAATATATTCCCAGATGGACCAGCTTGGTGTGTTTATAAATTTACCTTTTTCTTCCCCATGTAGATACTTGGAGAAAAAGCGACTCTGCTTCCCTCGTTTCTTCTTTGTCTCGGATCCTGCCCTCCTGGAGATCCTGGGGCAGGCATCAGACACCCACACCATCCAAGCCCATTTGCTGAATGTGTTTGACAACATTAAAACGGTCAAGTTCCATGAAAAGGTTGGCGTAACCCTAATGCTGGTCCACGGGAATATTATCTCAGCATCTCAGCTGGCTTTGTCAAACTGTTCTCTAATATTAGGTTTATAAAAGATTCTCCTTGCCCATTAACTTTCAGGCAGTGACTAAAAACAAAGTGCAGATTTGAATAATCAATGGTTTAAACGCGGCTGGGGTACCTAGCATGTGGCATTCAGGGTTTGGCATGCTAGGTTAATGCTTTGGCTATTCAACACAACAAAGAAGCCCTCTGTTCAAAATTGGGCCTTGACATAATTGCCATAGTGACTTGCTTGTTTTAATTAGGTTTCAGAAGTTATTGGCATGATGGTCTTTCTTGTTTCTCATCATGCTTGATTCATGTTTGTTTAAACACTCCCAAAAAGTTTCTGGAATCATGGCATGCTAGGGTACCCAAAAGAGGTAGCTGGATGTGAGGGAGAATACATTTGCGTGAAAGCCGAAGATACTGCCTGATCTATCCCTTTACCCCAATTCCCTAGGATAGTTACCCTTTCAGTTTAATGATGGGTCCCCCTGGTGCTTCCTGTAGACCCTATGTATCATTCATCTCTTCATCATAGCATGCAGTTTGCATTTGTTGAGCAGTTACCATTTGCTAGGTGTTGTGCTTGGCATTAGGAATGCACCAACCTCAGGAGCTGTGCTCTGGTAGGAAAGACAGAGAAGGAAACAACTGGAATGTATAGGGGTGATGGCTGCAATTGGTGGCTTGCAAGTTCAATCCTCTCATTTAATTCTAAGCCCTCTCTCTGCACCAGGCATGACACTAGTCAGGGAGTCCGTGGAAGAAGAAAGCACATAAAAATGGAAATGGTGTGTGTATCACAATACTCAAGAATATTTGGCAGCCAGACTTGATCATTTTTGACGTGTGATGCTCATTTAAACACAAGGCTCATGGGAGTGGCTCTGAGGGAGCCTGCACCTGAGCGCAGGGCTAAGAGCAGACTTCTGGCAGGAGAGTATAGTGTTAGAATAATTTTAGAGGGTGAGTGGAACATCATCAGGCAGGCGGAGAAAAGATCACGATCTGGTCAGAAGGAAGCGTGCACACAGGGATGAGTGTGGACAGTCTGGGCACTGGAAGTGGAGGATTTGTGGAGGCATGCAGCTTCCTAGGGCTGCTCAACAGGAGTTTATTCACGCACATTCCTGGGAGCCGGAAGTCCCAGCTAAGCCATCAGCAGGCTTGCTTCCTACTGGGGCTCCGAGGGAGACTCTCCATGCCTCTCTGTTACTTTTTCGGACTGGCTGTCCTCAGTGGGCTTGGCTTGTGGCCACATCACTCAAGTTTCTCTGCTTAGTCTTCACATGATGTGCCACTTACACCACATCAAGTAGAGATGAAGAGAGCAGTGGGAGAAGGAGGCTTGGACCAGGGGTCTGCTTCAGTCTGAACATAGCAGGGCTGTTGGCACTGACTTATTTCAGAAGATTCTCTGGCTAAGTGTAGGAGCTGAAAGAGAGGGGGTTCCAGGAAACCAGTGTCAGAAGCAATTGCAAAGTCAAGATGGAAAAGGATGAGCTGCAAAACGACGTGTTGATGAAGGGGTGGTGGGAAGGAAGGGAAGACAGGATGGATTTGTGTGGGTTGAGAGGGGATTCAGTTACCCAGCATTTCCTCCCTAAGTTTCACTCTCATCTTTCTATAACCCCAGGAAATGAAAGGTCTAGAGTGAAGGTTCTCACCTGTCTCCTTGAAGACAGTTTAAACTTTCTCATTTTTAGCTCCTGTCATAGTAATTACTTCTTAAAACAGTATTGCTTTATTTATTTTTTTAAAATTTGGATTATTCCTACTTTTAAGGTTTCTACAACTAGAGCAAAACTATAGTTTTTAAAAAAGATTTATTTATTTATGCATATAGGACTGGGGTACAGGCCAGAGGTGCAAGGGTAAGAGGATTCACCAGAGACAGAGTGGGGAGCAGAACAGGCAGGTTGTCTGAAACACACTGTTGAAGGGAGCAGTGGGCGGGTCAGGAGAGGTCTGCGACATCATCTGTGTCACCTCCCTGGCTGGGGATCAAACTCTGCTGCAGTGGCTGTGATAGCTTTATAGTGTTGTGCTTTAACCCATTGTGCTACCGGGGAGGGCCTGAAAAACTAGTTTTATGGGTCCAAAATCTTATACAATTATAGGTACAAACTTTTTTGATGGACTTGAGAAGGATCTGTGTACATGAAGGGCCCTGAAACTGAAGACCATGGCTTCTTGGTGGATCACCTCTGTCTACAAGGAAGACTTCACTGACGTAGTGCTAAGTCTGAGCCCAGGCAATCTAGTTGAAGGGAAAATGTTCCAGTTTCTAAAGAACTCAAATAGCAGACACTGTATTTACTTTACATTTGTGCCATGTTATATAGTTACACGAACAGCCTGTGAGGCGTGAAGGCAAGCGGAACAGGCATGATTCAGTCTGAGAAATAGCCAGTAAATGCCGAGCACCGTGTGGACCTGTTGAACTTGATATAGTGTTTTAGTTTTGTGGGTAACATTTCTCTGGTTTGAGGTTGATTTTCAATCATGTTTTGCCTTGCATAATCCATCGTTTAACTTTCAATGGGAAGGATAACATGGGCAAGAACACAATGGACAAATGAATTCTTTAGGTGAATTTAGCTGTTTTTTGGCTTCTAACATAGATCTATGATCGCATCCTGTCAATTTCCTCTCGAGAGGGCGAGACGATTGAATTGGCCAAGCCAGTGATGGCAGAGGGCAGTGTGGAAGTCTGGCTTAATGCTCTCCTGGAGGAATCTCAGAACTCGTTACATCTTGTGATTCGCCAGGCAGCTGAAAATATCCAAGAACCAGGATTCCAACTGATTGAATTCCTTTCTTCCTTCCCTGCTCAGGTCGGTATATTGAAATTGGAAAGCATTTTTTTTTTTTTTTAGATTTTTAAAAATAATGTAATAGTTTGTTTACATCATTTTGTGCCTTTTCCCACCTCAGTTGTAATCTCCATGGGCTTCCCATCACCAAATCACTCACGTGCCATCACCATAGTCCAGTGCACTCCCTCCAGCCCCCATTTTTGATCCCATTCCCCATTCCACTCCCGTAAAATGTCTCTGGTATATAGTTATCTTTTCCCCCTGGTCCTTTATACTCCTGCTATGAGTGAAACCATCCGGTATTTTTTGTTTTCTTTCTGGCTTATTTCACTAAGCATGATCCCTTCCAGCTCCATCCATGTTGCTGCAACAGGCATGAGCTTATCTTTTTTGATTGCTGAGTAATATTTCATTCTGTATATGGACCACATCTTTTTAATCCAGTCATCTACTTTTGGGCATTTGGGCTGCTTCCATGTTTTTCCAATTGTAAATAAAGCAGCAATGAACTTGGGGGTGCAGGTATCTTTTTCAATCAGTGTTTTTGTATCTTTTGGGTAGATACCTAGGAGTAGGATTGCTGGGTTATATGGAAGCTCTATTTTTAGCCATTTGAGAAACCTCCAAACAGCTGGAAAGTATTTTGATGGAATAGTCATTTTAGATCTCATACACTGTCTATTGTAACTACACAACTGTCTCTAAAATAGATTGGAATCATTTTTAAGGTTTTCGTATGGATTTGTTAAGTGTAGATAAGTATAAAGAATTCAGCTTCAAATTATAGCTATGACCCTATCGCCAAAAGTAAATATGTATTTGTGTTGTAGAGATATTTGGAATACTTTCATCTTAAAAGTTTTTTCTCTATTGAATTGGTTCAGAACTTATATCATAAAAATGCAGTTAGTATATGTGCTACCAGAATAGTGAGAAATGTATTTCAGGATTAAAATACAAAAATTGGTATTTTCTTCACCAATGTGATCAGTTAGGACATTTTGCATATTTATTATGTATGTGTTTGGTGAAAGCAGATTTAAGACACATTATCTGCCAGTAACTTGAAACCTATTGAGGAGAAATTTGACTTTTTAAAAACTGAAAATTCCAGGAAATTGTAGCTACATTTGGAGACTGGTGCATGTTAATTTCCAGTGAACCAAACATACAGTTTCTACTGGTTTCAAAACAACATCAAGCCAAGTCGAGGGTAGCTTTTCCTTTTGCACTAATCACAACTATTCACTATGTAGTAATTTCTGTTTGAATATATTAAAGGCCACAGACACTCATGGAGCCTTTTGTTTTTTAAACTTCCATAAGGTTGGATTATTAGGAATTCAAATGATATGGACACGGGATTCAGAAGAAGCCCTTAGAAACGCCAAGTTTGATAAGAAAATCATGCAGAAAACCAACCAGTCTTTCCTGGAGCTCCTTAACACCCTGATAGACTGCACCACGCAGGACCTGAGCTCCGTGGAGCGAGTTAAATACGAGACGCTGATCACGATCCATGTGCATCAGAGGGACATCTTCGACGACCTGGTAAAGGCCTTAACACCCTGGCGCCCGCCGGGAAGCAAACCCGAGGCCGCTGTGGTCTCGCACCGGAATTAGTTTGATGAACTCAAAGAGAAGGTTAAATCCAGGCCAAAGCCACCTGTATGGTGAGAGCTGACTGGCCAACTTCTCTTTTCCGTCTTTAGCTGCCACTTCAGTCATATTTGGATGAGCTACACTAAGATTTGATTGAGCTACTAGACGAGACTTTACTTTAGAATTTCTTATGAGACTTTCTAAGGCTCAGATGCCAGCTAGCCCCCTGCGAAACTTGCACTGTTTTTAGGCTGTAAGGTCGAGGCGGCCTGGCAAGGCTGGGGCCGGGCACCTTGAATCTGGGGCTGTTACTGTCTGTGTGCCTGGAGCCTCCTTACCTCCTGAAGTCTGGGAACTGCCTGCATTCTGGGAATCAGCGCTGCAGAGGTATATAGATAAGCACCGCTGATTAATTGTCTTGGAGAAAAGCAAAGCAACCAGCTTCCCTGCTCTGTAAAATCTTACCCATAGTCCCTGGCGGGTGGGCGCGACTTCACTGAGCTCTCCCCTGTCTTTGGGGTACCTTGCCCAGGAGCGCAATGAAGTTCGTACTTGGTAGACACTTGGCCTGGTCTGCCACCCTCTAACTGTGTGGGGCCCACCGAGCCTTTCAGTGAGCACCTCAGGGCTTTTGATAAATCACATCTCTAACAAGGTTTGCTGCATTTTGTCAGTAATTCCCAATGCGCTTTCTTTAAGGAGTTGGGGATGATCAGCTGTCATGCAGGTGTTTGCCTTTAAAGAGAAAACAGGGTGCAAGAGGAAGTTCCGTAGATAGTAGAAAATAGGAAATGTGAAAAGAAATGAAATTTGCCCTCTGCTGTAAAATACATTAGGTGAAGCAGCAAGAAGCATTTTCCTAATAATTTTCTGGATTGTGCCTCACCCCATTATATAAGAGATTATGAAAAATTGGTTCTGATGTAAAGGAAATAAAAGCAGCCTATTCAAGCTTTCTCTGCTAATCTCCTCTTAATAGTTAAGCACACTATTTGCCTCTCAGAAATAAAGGGCTCAGAATAATTTTAGATTTCTTATTTGTCAAGGAAAATGATTAAAATGGTTTAAAATTATATTTAAAAAATTCACACAAAGACATTGTTGGCAATGACCTGTCATTTTGATGTTAGGATTTTTTGGCCTGCTGAAAATGCTAGGAAAAATAATTAACGGATTAAAAAAACCTACCAATGTACGATGCCATTGTCCTAATGAGATGGCTTCGTGCAGCCTTTGTTTGCTGTCACTCCCACAGACTGCTTCCTGACTAGGACTGTGTCCTAGGGCACTGAAAGCTGAAATTTAACAAATACCTGTTTTTCTATTATTATTATTGGGGGCACCAAAGGGTGTCTCTTGGATTTTCACATCCCCGTACTTCTAAATATTGTTGCTGATCGATATGAGAATGGTGCAGTGGTGACGAGACTGACATCTCTGGCCTCACTGGGGCATTTCTTTTGCTCCCCGCCATCAGCCAAGTTGGGGGTCTAACTGATGGGGCTCGTCTCAGCTTTGCCGTGTCCCTTTTGCATTTCAGTGCCACAAGCACATCAAGAGCCCTACAGACTTTGAATGGCTGAAACAGTGCAGGTTTTATTTTAACGAAGACACCGACAAGATGATGATTCACATCACCGACGTCGCGTTCATTTACCAAAACGAGTTTCTGGGCTGCACAGACAGACTTGTCATAACGCCGCTCACGGACAGGTGATGGAAGGGCTGTGACCCCAGACCTGTCTTCCTCCCTGCCTGACATTTTCAGTCTCTCCAGTTGCACGTGGATTTCTGCTTAGTATCTCTCTAGAGTCGACAGGCTCTTCTGTACGAAAGTCTCTGAAATTCAGTCTTTCTGAATTTGGATCATTTGACCCATGTCTTCACCTGGGAGTTAGGTCTTGGACTCTAACAGACTTTGCCTTCAGTTTTGTGCAGGTTAGATTTAAGTGACCTCAGTGGACATGAGTGGGCAAAGAGGGGATTGGTTGTGACGTCTCAGTGGGTACAGAGCACAGTGGGCTTGAGAGCTGCCTTAGGGATCGTGGCACCTGTTTTTTACAGAAGCCAGAAAGTTAGGAGAGCTTTTTTTTTTTTATTGGGAAAGAAACTGATGACCAGGGCAGGGGCAAAGGGTGAGAGGACCTCAGCCTGGATTCAGCGGTTCCCACTTATTTTTTTAAAGATTTATTTTTGTGCATACAGACATGGGGTACAGCCAGAGGTGATGGGCTGTGAGAGGGTTCACCAGAGACAGAGTGGGGAGCAGAACAGGCAGGTCAACAAGGTACACTGCTGAAGGGAGCAGTGGGCAGGTCAGGAGAGGTCTGCCGCACCTTGTGAGTCACCTCTGGGGTGGGGATCGAACTCGCACTGAAGTGGCCACAGCTTGGCTTAGCTTTGCAGTGCTGCGCTCCAACCCGCTGCACCACCAGGGAGGGCCCTGTTCCCACTTCTTCCTCTCGCCAGTATGTACTAACTGTGCGAGCTTCTCACCTCACACCCGCCCGCCTCAGTGCCCTCATCTGTAAGGGGTCTGGGTCACCTCCAGGTTCCTTTCACTCAGTCTGACTCAGATTCTGCGGTGCACAGGGATATACCTTGTGCTTACTCTGGACAAAATGGCCGAGCGTTTGCCTGAGCAGACACTGAATAGTGACCATCTTCGCAGCATGAACCTCTGGGTTATTAGGTTTGCAATATCTGAAATGGAAAAGGTTGATGTAACAGCTCTACCGTCTGCTTGATGGTTCTGCTCACTTACGATATGACGTGAAGTGTGCACCTTCAACAGAAAATGAAGGCGAGAGCTATCACTGGGTGTCATTTTCCTCGAGCATTTTCTTGTCTTCATGCCCTTTATCTTCCTTCTTTTGTCTGGATGGAAGAGGCCTGTTACTGAGCTACTCCACATCCACGTGGGGCGTTTTCTCTTTGCTTTGCGTCAGAGGTGGCTATTCACAAAGTGTGGAGAGTTCCTTGAAACGTGGTTATGAAGCTGTTTCAGCTTTTCAGAACCTCCCTGCCTCCCTCTGTCCCTTCTGACCAAGCCCAGGTCCTGGGCTGGAGCAGTCTCTGCTGTCTCGGGAGAGAGCCTGGCCCTGCCTCCGCGGCCACTCTCCCCGTCCAGGCCACCCTCCCCTTCCAGGACATCATCGATGTTCACTTGCTACCGGGTCATTCTCATCACCCTGCACACATGAAAGCTGCTGTTCCTTCCAGAAGGGAACCCAACTGGGATCCCTCCAGTTTTCCTCCCCTTTCTGCGTTCCCATCAAAGCTCCTCAAAGGCACAATTTTCTCCACTCATTTTTTTCTTTAATTCACGCCAGCCAAGCTCTCCAGGCTTGTTTTCTACTGTTGCCACAACGAATCACCACAACCCATTACCATCTAAGGCAGGTCTCCTGCGGCTGACGTGGGTGCGCTGCCTCCCGGAGGCGCTAGGGGGCGCCTCTGCTCCTGCTCCTACAGCTGTGTGCAGAGTCCGCTTCCCTGCAGTCCTGTCTGAGGTGCTGACTGTTAGTGAGCCCGTTTCCAGCCTCGGAGGCTGCAGCCCTGGCTGGCTTGCGGCCCTTTCCTCCGTGTTCCCAGACAGCCACTGCGGATTGAGAACTTTCCACGCTCTAATCCGCTCCTCTGTCTCCCTCTGCCAGAGGACTGGTGGGGTTAGATCTGGTCCAACAGATGACCCAGGACAGTTTCCTATCTCAAGGCCATTAACACCTGCGAAGTCCTCTAGCCAGTAAGACTGCTCATCTGCGGGTTCCAGCACAGCGTGGGGCACCATTACTCTGCTCTTTCCCTTTATCCCCTCCTCTAGTGAGAGTGACCCCATGTCGCTAAACCCAGTGTTCACTTCCGGCTGCCTTCTCTGATTTAGCAGCAGCAGGTGCACAGCTGACCACTCCGTGTGACCCTTTCTAACGTGCCCTCTGGACACCAGCCTCCGCTGTTCCCCTGCTGGCCTGTCCCCACGCTCGCCTGCAGGCACCACTTCATCATCTTGACCGCTAAACACACACCAGCCCAGGACTCCAGTTTTCTCCATTTTGACTCACGTCTCAGGGATTCCAGCAGCTTTAGATGCCATGTAGGGCAGCTGTCTCTCAAGACTGCCTTGTCTGTTTGGGTGTATTGCTTTCCTTTTGTCCCTTCCCTCAATAAACTTGAAACAAAAAAAGTCCTGCAGATGGTGACTTGTCGACCTGTGCTCCCACCAGGGCTTCTCATTTCAATGCCAGACACACGCATCTTTGTCACACATGTCCGTCTGGAGGCTCAAAGCTCTAGATAGGTCATCTCGGGACGCTGGTCCGGCTCTTCTGCTCTTGACTTGGGAGGTTGGACTTGGACGCTCTCACTATGTCTCAGAGAAACTTCGAGATGTCCGAGGATGGTTCTAGTGATGTCTCTCTGCCTTCAGGTGCTATATCACATTGGCTCAAGCTCTTGGTATGAGCATGGGAGGTGCCCCCGCTGGTCCTGCGGGAACAGGCAAGACAGAGACCACCAAGGACATGGGTCGGTGTCTCGGGAAATACGTTGTGGTTTTCAACTGCTCAGACCAGATGGATTTCCGAGGACTTGGACGGATTTTCAAAGGTGAGATTTATGTCTTACTTCATGAGGAATTTCAGTTAGTGTGGAATATCTTGTTCAGATTTATTTTCCAACAATTGGCTACATGTCAGTGCCATTTTTTAAATTGCCAAACTTTCGAAAAAGTCTGAACCTCTCAGTGTTGTCTGGATGAACATTCTCATCTCCTGCCCTTTGTAATGTCCTGTGATCACTGCATATTTAGTGTTTAGAAACGAAGGGCCAAAGCACGAGCTATTTTTCAGTATGTTGTGATTGTCTTACTTGTTAAACTTTTTTTTTTTTGGAACAAATTCATCGCTGGTTTGTCTTGGCGGCTTCATAATGCCTCTTTCCCTGGTTTTCCAAAATTATATGCTAATTGGTTTTTCCATTTAATTTCCTTTCTAAGGACTAGCCCAGTCTGGCTCCTGGGGTTGTTTTGATGAATTCAACCGTATCGATCTAGCAGTTCTGTCTGTGGCAGCCCAGCAAATTTCCATTATTCTGACATGTAAGAAGGAGCGTAAAAAGTCTTTTGTTTTTACCGATGGAGATAATGTGACCATGAACCCTGAATTTGGACTTTTTCTAACCATGGTAAGAAACTAGGAGCAGAGCAGTTGAATTCAGCCTCTTTGCACAGAGTTCATGCAGGTTCCCCCATACGTGACCTTCTTTCCATCAGTGGGTTTTGGGGCAGCCAAAGATAGATAGATAGTAGATAGGTAGACAGTCAGACAGACAGATAGACAGAGGCAGACAGGGAGTCAGAGATAGATAGATAATAGATAGATAGACAGACAGTCAGACAGAGACAGACAGGGAACCAGAGATAGATAGACAGACAGACAGACAGATAGACAGAGACAGACAGGGAGCCAGAGATAGATAGATAGACAGACAGACAGACAGATAGACAGAGACA